TTTCATTAGGTTAGGATCATAGACGGGTTTTTAGTTAAAAGGGCTTCTTTCATTCATCGTCTTGAAATGCGCTAGCGTATTGATCTACATGGAAGTTGGACAATGTCCGCAGTGATCATATTCTCGGCGGGAGGTTGGGGTGACCGGCGTGTGATCAACTGAAGTGAGTGCGTGCCGGGTGAAATGAGTGCCTGACAGTCGTTCGCAGCTGGCAGTCACTTCATCATGCATGTGTCAGTTGCCCGCAGCCGAGGACATTCACTCGGCTTCTTCTGGTTCGCTTTTCTTCTGGTTCACTTCTCTTCTCATCCACTTCCCTTCCACTTCTCTTCTCATCCACTTCCCTTTTCATCCACTTCTCTTCTCATCCACTTTGTTCTCTTGTTCATTTCTTCTTTTACCATCCATCACCGTCTTAAAGATGGCTACCGACGAATGGCTCTCCATGGCACCCGAACCCGACATGGATATTTATGAACAAGCCTCTTCATCATTCCCTATCATGGAGTATCCAGACATCCAGCAACCCAATCTGTACCCCGAATACGGGTCTTGGGACCCAGCTGACTGGTACCTTGTGACACGCGAAGAACTTGAGGAGGCTATGAACGACCATCCACCGGGCATCATGTATCTTGCTTCTCCTGGGTGGTTTGATTATGGACTGGCGCAGGCATTTACTGCTTCTACCGACGAATCTGCCACCACCGACGCCGTCTACGTCGACAAGGCCCACGCTCAGGCCTCTGCCCCGTCGACACCTCGCCCAAGTCGCCGCCGCCGCGTCATCGATGGCCTGCTTCGTGGTCTCCGTCGTGTCCTATGCTGCCAGTGACGGGTGGCTGTGACTTCCCAGATCCCGGCTTATCAAGTGGTGTTGCGCTTGTCCTACAGCAACCTCATGGATCTCTCAGGTATGTTTTCACTTCGCATATTCCCATTCAACCAGGATAGTGAACAGTTTAATAACATGGGATACCAAGAATATGAATTCACCGCTGTGATCACGACAAGAGAGTGTGCCTTTGGATGAGAGTGTGTCATGGACAGCAATACGTTGGTGGTTAGGACGGAAGACGTGTCGGTTGGGGGAAATAATTACGAGTTTCATGTAATTAAAACACTAAATTCTTCCCCACTCTAATTCTCTACTCATCCAGTCCATCGCCATCGCCTCTGCGTGCTCCAAGGACCTCAATAGGCTCTCCACCTGTTCCCCAAACCAAGTGGTACCCGAAGCACCCTTAGAGTTATAAATCTTAGGCCTGTATGATAAACCCTACACACAGAAATGGAAATGGAGGCGGAGACGTATGGAAGCGTTTTTGCGGCAGAGCCACGTCAATACAGCTACTGCTGCTTGGCAGCAACTCGGGATCGAGGAGGGCGCGGCGGGAGGAGGTTCGGTGGGAAACGGGCCTGGAATCTTTAGACTCCAGGCCTCTGGCGAAAACCCTCGGGTTGTGAAGGCCGCTTCATGACAGTTCTAAGCGAACGCCATCAGCGGGGGCGGCTTCGGCGACGGAGAGTCGGGTCTGAGGAGTAGAAGCAGAGAAGCTAAGTTCGGCGGTCGGAGTCGCCACAATATCGTTATTGTTGCTACTATTGCTATTAGTGACAGTAAAGACTCGTATTAGAGGCCCGGAAGCTCTGGTAAAAAATACAAATTGTGAGGGAGAAAACGATCAGACGATGCAAGACGAGAGCCCAACCGTTCCAAACGCGATGGGGAGCGAGGGCGGAGTCCCGAGACGAGGCTGCTACTGCGGGCGGGAGGAGCAGCAGGAGAAATAATAGAAAGAATAGAAGAGGGAGGAGTTGATAAGGACCATCCCCCAGGGTGACGGCCCAGGACCAGACAACGGCGAGGGGGGGAAGAAGGCAAGGCTTAGCCGCTGAAGCCGCGACAACACCATTGCTGCTGTTACTTCTGTTGTTGCTGTCACCGCTTTTGTTGCTGTCGTTGCTGCTGCTTGGCAGCGAGGGATTGGAAGGGAAGGCTCGGCGGCTGAAGCCGCGACAACACCGTTGGTGGTGGTTGTTGTTTCTGTTGTTTCGATCGTGTGCCTAAGCTCGCATGTGAGATTCCAGTGAGAGTTAGTGATGATGACCTTGTCGCAGCACCAGGCCTTGCTTACCAGACTTAGATGCAGACGCAACCTGGGCTTTGGTGGACGTGGTTGTGGTGGTGAAGCGAGAACCCAACAAACATTGGCAATTCAGACGCCGCCATTATCAGAATGGCCGGATGTGTCGGTCACCTGTCCTCTTCAGGGGTTCTTTGTCTGCAGTTGGGACACCACAATTGCGACAGGTAATACGACGCCACATAAATCACCAAGCCTCTCTTTCGGTCATGTTTTTGTGTTCTGGGTGCAGTGTTTCAATTACTTGAATGTCTGGAACAGCAAACTATGTGTCGAACTCCTTTGTCACACATACGACACCTTTCTTTCCCATCCGCCACACTCTCCCATCCATGACCAACATGACACATCCTCTCATTCCCACAGATATCAAAGTCGAATTCCTGGTATGCCATGTTAGTAACCCCAATTATGCAGGGAATCGGGATAGAGGACATACCCTGGCGAAGGCCCCTTAAGGCCATGGCATAGGGCACGACAGCATTTTCTGCTGGAGTCTTTGATGTCTAGGACGACGCAGTAGGCTTTCGGTTGCGAAAGGAGAGCCCACGGAAACCACGGACCAGACTGCGGACTAACCAACAGCGGCGATGCTTTCGAGTTCCGGATTCCATGGAAGCTGGGGCAACGACCTTATCTTCGGCCACTTCGGCGACGTTCGTGATGGGAAAAAGAGACGCGGGGGGCATCGGAGTTGGGGGACGGTCCAGAGGACGGGTATGAAACAGGCATGCACGCTGTAACTCCCAGCTGTCCGGTGCGAAGTGAACGGTAGGACGGTCTGATGCTTCGAAAGATGCCTCCCCTCCTGGAAAGCCCGGTCGATGTATCGGAGCTTGATACTGCTCTATCAAGGCAAGAAGACTTGCCATGTCGGGGGTTGGGCCTACTTCTTCCCGGTTTCCGTTCATCTCGATGTTGACGAAAGTTTGAAGAAAGGATAAAAAGCAGAAGAGAAGGATTTGAGCGAGGTCGCTACTTCTGCAGGCGTTGCCAGTCGTTCGCAGCTGGCAGTTACTTGCAGCCCAGTCGCTTCAACATCCTCAGGCACCACACAAGCTCAGTTGACCGTTGCCTTGAGGCCCCCAACTCGCCTCTCAGTAAGGTATCTGGATGGCAAGGTCTACCATGAGGGCTAGTAACCCCCGAAGAAATCAAGGAGGCTCACCAAGCCTTTCTGCCGGGACCTGGTAGTCGATGGCACCAGGTTCATTGCGTGGTGAGCGTCATGATTCTCCTCTAGTCATATCAACCTTCACCACCAAGGCCACTACGTCTATGGACTCCTTCTCTATCCTCGCCTTCTCCAAGGCTAGGTGATCGCTGTCGCCGCTTCATTGACAGCCTGCTCCGCCGTTTCCGTCGTGTCCTTCAACCCTGCCCGACACCAACGCCTCTTAGCTCCCCGAACGGGGCCAAGACATTAACGCCATCTTAGACACTACATGTAGTTGTGAAACTCGCAAGCCCCTCCATCGTCTGAGGATTTCTTTTCTCTTCTTCTTCAACCCATCGAAATGCTTCCACGCCCGCCGAATCTCGACCGCATCATGATCCTATGGGGAAATTATGTGTATTCGAAACGTGGGACAAGCCCTTCCCGGAGGGTCGTCGACGGACAAATCACTCACGCTGAGCTTACCTTTGCCCAGCTTTCCGTCCGGAAAAACGGCCAGAGTTTTTAGATGTGATTTCACCTGGCTTAGCACCTCAAAAACGTCTTACCGCCACAGAAATTACCTCTTCCGCCCCCTTCTCCCTAATCAGTAGCAGCGACAATAACAGTATCATCACTGGTGGTGTTGTTGGGCCTCTGGAGCCGCCTCTCGCCTATTGCTCACCGTCGTTATTGTCTTCCGGCTAAATTTATATATCACCATATTAACATCTGATCGAATGCACCTACCATAAACAGACTCTTGAGTTGGTGAAACTGCACTTTTCTATTTGAAGTGGCAACAACAACTGCAGCAACGCCAACAATTGTGTTGTCGCGACTTCGACCGCTAAAGCTCCTCCTACTCGACTCTTCGGTATGCCTCCACTGTTGATTGTATTCATTTCGGCCTTGTCATGAAGTGACCTTCGCGGCGAGAGGCTTTCCGCCAAGGGCCTAGAGTCTATTATTCCAGCCCCATAACCCAACGACCCTCCTTCTGCGGCCCCCGAGGCCCCCTCCGATCCCAAGAAGCAGATACGGCAACAGCAAGACGGCAGTAACAGCAGAAACAGCGGAGTTGGTGTGGCTCTGGACGTGGATGAGACAGGAGAAACGCCGTTGTGGTGGATACTTGACTCAAATTGACAGGCCACACAAAAGTTGAGCGTCCATTCGCCCGTTTTATGAAGATGTCGCTAGTGACAAAAACCATGTTTCTTCCCCCAAACATTTAGGATTTGCAGGAATAAAAAATGAGAAGCAAAATGAATGTGCATTAAACAAGCCGGGGATTTTATTTAATCTGCTATGAATGATTTGCCACGCGACAAGTAGAAAACATGAAATATCTAGGGTAGCCGCCAGGTAAATGCAACGCACGGACCGGGCGACCTCATTCTGTGACTAGCGCCAGCCAGCAACGATCGTTGTGGAAGTTGCCCAGCGACGATCAAAAAAGACAAAGAAGGAAACCAAAAGTATTAAAAATGAGATCGAGAACTTGAGTCAAGTGCGTTTCTTCTGTCAAAAGAGAGGAATAACTCAGGTGTTGTCAGTGGTGGTGGGGTGCACGGACCTCGGACTTCGAGTGCTGACCCACCAGAGCCGCATTGGCGAGAGCTTCAAATATCGACTAACCTGAGATCGTCCAACATGAGATCGCCTACCACGAGACCAAAAAAATCCAAAAGAATTGCCCAGCCCAGGAATCGAACCTGGGTCGTCAGTGAATTGAGGTTTGAGTGCCACAAACTGATATACTAACCACTATACTAGCTGGGCAGGGCTTGCAAGACGAAATGTCAAGCTAAGCTGTTTGTGGATGCTGAGCGATTTATTTTAATACATATGGCTGTCAAGCTTTTCCGCTGCATTTGCAGGGAGTGAGTCTAAAGTAAGACTCTATTGGTGAGTTATCTGGGACTTCTCCTGCAAGAAGCAAACTCCTCACACGGCCATCGGCAGGACGTAGCACTCCATTCGTTCTTATTGCCATTTAGGCCGTCTCTTTGTTTATTCTGTGGTCCAATGATGCTTGAATGATTTACTAGCCTCTGGTTGTAATCCGACCGGGTATTTTCATTCATACTCGGGCTTTGCCTTGTGGAGAATGGAGCGCGACCAGCAGAGATTCCACTCTCTCACCGCGGAATAATCCATGGACACTGCACCATGGAACAATGTTATTCTTATTCACAACAGCAGACACCAACAATTTAGTACCTGGTAGTTCAATGTGGAATTCAATGTAATTAATGGGAGGTATTGTAATTATTGGCATACTGGGATGAGGGCAAGATTGATCTTGTGGGAGCGAAAAACCATCGACAGTCTCACCGGCCCTGTCTGCGTGTTAAGTACCCTGTAGTATTCTGAGCTGCGAGTGCTCCTTCTAGACACGAGTTGAAGCATTGAACTACCTAGCTAGACTCGCTCTTCCAAGACGGAAATCACCCTCGGAAAAAAAGAAAAACCCCACGACAAATGCAAAAATGGAGCCCACAACCAGGCGATATATGGGCTTAAAAAATATTAAAAAAATGTGATCCGTTGCCTCCAGCCGGAATTGAACCGGCGTTTCCAGTGTTTTATGAATGCGGTTGACCACAAACTGGTATCCTAGCCACTAGATGATGGGGGCGCTGAAGAATCTTCATTGAATGTTGAAAGTGGGCGAGTTATTTCAGTTCATAACCACATCCGAGCCAAAGACCCATATAAAGCGGGGTAGTCCCACTCTTGCATGCGTTGACGCATACTTAGGTAAATAGAAAACTAGACTCTAGCCTTATGAAAATGAGTGGGTTGTGTTGTTCAAGGTATGCAAACCGTGGATGTCAAAAGCATCGGGATGGCCTTAGTGCGTTCCTGTTAAGTTCACCAGAACCGAAGATGTTATGGATTATTTGTCCTTCCCAAAAACCCAAGACCTGGACGGAGTTCGAATGCTCACCGATAACTGAGGATCATGTCTGTACTCAATACTGGCCCGGCCGGGTCATCTGAGCCGGACGCACCGTCGGGGCCGAAAGTGGGGCAACAATCCGGAAGTGGATCCGGACCCGGGTGGCCGCGGCAGCAGTTGTTACATCCCCGGTGTGTTTCCAGACGAATTGTGATAACTCAATTATAAATCAAACGCCACGAATACGCGCTAGGATGGTATGGAATGTCATTTGGCGGCGGCGAGACTGGGTTTACCCGCGACGACGACGACAATAATAACAGTTACAGGACTGTTTGTATGGCATGGGAGAGAGCGAAGGGATGCAAGGTCACCATAAAGTTTATGAGTTTATTTCAATGCTCAACCCGGATGGGCGGTAGCCTAAATCCAACCCATTGTGGTGGTAGATGCCTGGGGAAGACAACCCTAGATTCTCAGGCCTAAATCATGCAAGCCAACCGCGCCAAATGCCTAAGTGAAATGAGATTACTGTTCTCGGTGTATGATAGTAAAACGGGGAAAAAAGCCTACTACAGGGAATATGAGTTTAAACACAGGTTGCCTTATGAACAGAGACTGGTCATGGTTGAGCATTTAAATGGGAATTGTGTTTCTTTGAACGGGGCTGGGGGTCAATGTGGGGCAGGAGGGCGAACGTCAACATTACTTATGCACGGAGCTATCTCTTACGTAGAAACTAAACTGAAAATTTTGGTGGGAATGCGAATGAGTAAAGCTTCGTCCATGCCAAAGACAGAGCGTTGGGCTGAGCGTCGGCCTACTGGGTTGGTGAGGGGTGAGCAAGTGGCTCCCTAGTTGGCGAATGTGCAAACGCCTACATCTACTATGTTTCGGATGACGGATTTAATCATTGTAAGAGAGATGGTTCCTGGCACGTGACGCTCTCAAATCCCTCTCCATTAACCTCACGGTGTGCTCGTTGATAGTGAAGTTAGAATGAAAGCTTGCTCTTACACCGACACCAGATGTGTGATTACAAGGCGGAAGAAGGAACACCGTATGGGATAGTTGTTTTATATTTACTTCTATATGTCTTTTGAGGAACGAGTTATTCGATCGGGTGAGAATTGGCAGAATGAGTGTCTGTTCATTCCAATATTAAAATACCAGTACTCATTAACTATTCCAGCAAGGAACGAACGTGTACAGGTGAAAAAAACCTGATTAAGATTTAGTACGAGAATAAGGAACGCTTATGTAATTTACCTACCAAGTGGATTTCAATTTGTGCGAGTGGAGTAATATATGTACTCTAATATGAGACCGACCCATAACAACAAATGAACTAACACGCGATCTTAGTATAGTGGTCAGTATATCAGTTTGTGGGCCTCTAAAGAGTCAATTCACTGACGACGCAAGTTCGATTCTTGCAGATCGCATTCATTTGATTTTTTTGGGATTTATTCCGTGGAGTGAGAGCTTGTTAAAGATGGAGTGTTTCATTGATCACGACTTGGACGAGCGACAATCCAATTTTTTTTTGGTGGCCTCTGTCGAACCCGGACACTGGCAAGGTGGGGTGGTCCGTGCACATATGCACTAACAATCACCTGCAACTCTCTACCGCACCTATTTCCCCATGTCCGCGTTGTGATCGCTTCATCATGGTGTGGCCAAGTGTAGATCGGCGTCTCGCTAGATTAATTGACACCTGGGTCCTGGCGTAAGGTTTGATGATGGATCTGGATATTGTATGCTTTTATCATGCTACCTGGACCTTTGTGACACAAATTTCCTCAAGAATACCCGACCATCGTTACATGAGGGATATTGGATCAAGCAATCAATTGTCGTAACGCAGATTCCTGCTGGCTCTCGACATCACCCAAACGAGCAACCTCCTTGCCCTATGAAGATGAATTAATAAATGAATTTGTGAATGAGCTGCAAACTCACATTTTCGATTCTCACGACTGTCGGGACTCCTTGAATGTTGTAAGGCGCACCCCGATACTTGTTCTTCTTGGCGCCCCTCCACTCCTGGAATGATCCCACGCGGACAATGTGAGCTGTCGGAGCAGAGTCAGATCCGAATACGTTCTTAAGAGCAGGAATGGCGTCGCGGCAGTCTGGGCACCATGATGGCTCGCCAGACGCAAAGTACACGACGTAATGAGTCGCAGCGTCCGAGGGCGGGGTATCGGCGTCAATGAGGGGCATTTTGATCGAGAGTGGGAGCCACGAGAATTGGATGAGAAAGATTTACGAAGAGCGCAATCGAGTCGATAAGTGATCCTCTGGCAAAGTATAAATATGGACGTTGAGGAGCGGAGAGAGTGTGCTCATCTCGACGGCCTATTGCGCCGTCATTTATGGAGCATCGTCCCCACACGATCAGTCATGCGCGACACGAGTAGTATTACAAGTAGTTTATTATCATGTATCGTGTCTCGAGCCTATTCTCACACCAACGCCGTAGCGCAATATTATTCTATGCAACCCCGAATAACTTAGAGGAATTTCTCCAAAAACTTGGCCGTGTCAATGATCGTCTGTTCCACTGCGTAATGAGGCTGCCCCGTCGCCTCGATGGCTTTGGATCCGTCGATGATTCTGTCCTCTGGGAACGCGAACCCTGGGTTGTAACCCTCACCAGGTGTCCCTTCCTTGATGATATCGCGGCGATTGGGGAATGCCTCACGGAGAATATCGGCAGCTGCTTGAGGAGGAACCATCCCCTTCGCCAAGATGTAGCGTTCTCCGTTTGCCTTGTCGGGATGATCGACTGCGAAGACGACGACTCTGCCAACGTCGCGGACATCAACAAAGCTAGGGTTGGGTGAGATGGGGAAGGGGATTTCTTGTCCTAAAAATATCTGCAAGATAAAGGCCGTCGTCCCACCAATCTTGGATAAAGATTCGGCTGCTGTGGGTGGACCCATGACGAAGCTGTTGTGTACCATGTCAGCGACCGCAATGTTATTCGGAACGGAGAACTTACGTAGGGTTGATGGCAGCCATGCTAAAGGACGGCTTTTTCTCAATACGAAACTCCCAGAATGCGCGCTCGCTGGCAACCTTGCTCGCCACATAAATGAGTGGGCCTGGGGACTTTTTGCCGAGGCTCTTGACCTGATCCAAGGCCTCAGTGTTCCAGTCTGCTTCTGTGAAGCGAGGCGAATCTTCCTTCTTGTTCATGACGGCAGCAATGGAAGACATCAAGACGACGCTCTTGATGGAAGGTTCCTTAAGTGCGGACTCCAAGATACCGCGGGTTCCCTCCACTGCGGCCTCTAGGACAGGCTCAGGGTCCGTGAAGCTAAAGCTCACGGGGGAAGCCAGATGTGCGATGGCATGGATTCCTGGAAGGAACGTTAAACACGAGTTGGCGAGTTATTCAGACTAGAGCGCTTACCTTTGACGGCCGTATCGAACGCCCCTGGGGCAACAATATCGGGTACCTCAACAATCTCGAGATTATCGCGGTATTGAGATAGCGCCTCAACGAGAACATTTGCAGAGGCCTTGGATCGAACCGTTCCACGCACGGCGTACCCTGCCTTGAGGAATAATTCGATGACTGGGCCGGCAATGTAGCCATTGGCACCAGTCACGAGAACAATGCGCTTATCAGTCATGATTGTGAATGAAGATGAAATTTGATAGGGTGATTGATGGATGTAATGATTTAAGCTATGCAACGGAGAGCTTGAAAATGATGGACTTCGAGAGGCTCTACATGGTGGGCTTTATACCCTTCTGCAAGACAGTAGGGTGTACTGGGATGGCATCAGGCTGGCGGCCTCTGTATGACGGCAGAATCGGCAACGGAGTTTCTGAACCATGGGTCTGGAAGGCGTTACGTGCTAAGTCATCATGATGGTACCGTATCGACTCGATAAATTGGCCTTGTTTTTATGGAGCAAAGCTAAGCTATATGAGGCTTAGATTTCCTAAATCATTGGGTATACAAAAACCCGAAGGCAATAAGGGGGGAAGGATTCAGGGCCAATTTACCGAGTCGATACGGTATTCACCTGCAGCCGCAGAGGGGCTCCATAACTGAGGGACATCGTGGACCGGAATTGTATGTAATCGGCCGTCGGACTTTGCTGATAAAATTGGGCACGGACCGGACTTGGTCATGATAGGCTCCGCATACTTCGGTGAGGTTCGCTGAATCATTGCAGCCCACAAGGATTACAAATGTTAAATTCGTTTGTTCTTGCACAAGTCCTCCACAAGGAAGATGTTATGTTGGATTGGGCACAGGAGCTCTCTATTCGCAGCTTGGTAGGTATGCAGCCACACGCATGTGCTACAGACAACGTGTCTCGGATACTAGATCTTCCGAGCATTTTACAACACATTCAGAAGTATCTGTACGAGTGAGGAAGTTACGAATTAACATTTGAAATGTTGTGGGCTGTACTCCGTAGGTACTGATCAAGCTTACAAGAAACTTTAACTTTTGCCTCGTCGTATTTCGGACCTGTGACGAAAGCGGAATGAAGCTCGCGCATTGCACAACACCGAATGCCTCCGTCGTGAGAGGATGCGCATGTGTGAATTGATAACATGACGGCGTGGCGATTGCGTTGCAACGTTGGGGCGTCGGCCCACCCGAGCCGAGGCAAACAAGATGTTAGTTCCATGGGGTTCTATCTCAACTTCGACTTGATCACGAAAGTTCAGCCCTAAGCTCCAAGTAAATGATACTTCCATCATCGCTTTAATATGAGCCATCAATGTCTTGTTCTTGCCATGTTATTGCGTTAAAGTGTTGGACGGTTGCGGACATTAGTGCTGACCAACCCATCCATTAACCGTCTAAAACAATCACGTGACTTCGCGCATCCATTTCGCGACTCGATGATGACGCAACAGATTCAGAATGCACTGACACGCAACTCGCGCTTCACTCGCGGCACCTTCTCAACCCCAACGGAGGCATCCCGAGAATGCTCTGATCATGGCTGGTCGGAAGCGGACTACGAGGGCCAGCAGCAGGCTGGCTGCGGGGACACCGAGCGGGCCGGATGTCTACCAGGACATGTTGGCCGAGGCCGGCGTGAATGCCCAGGATCGCAGCCCACCTGAGCGGCCGCTGAAACGGCGTCGCGCGGGCCCAAGTCGAGAAGAGAAACCTCCAGAGAAGCAAGTGCCAGAGAAAGTACCAGAGCAAGAACCAGCTTCAAGCTCCGGAGCCGCACAAGGCGACCAGACAATACAGGTTAACGAAGATGACTCCGAGGATGAAGACATCGAGTTTCAGGATGTTGTTTTACCAGAGCCGACCATGCAAACCATGGAGTTGGAATCCGAAGATGAGGACGAAGATGAAGACATTGTATTTGAAGACGTTGATTTTGGAGTACTCCCTAAAGAAATTCCCACCACCCAAGAACCCTTGGAGTTGGTCCTCAACCTCACGGCCCAACAGTCCACCACAGCCCAGGCAAAGAAAGCCGCGGAAAGACGGAAACCTCTCACTAAGGAAGAGAGGGAACGGAGAGCCAACATTCACAAAGCTCATCTTCTTTGTCTTCTGTCGCATGTCGCACGTCGCAATCACTGGTGCAACGACCACAGGGTGCAGGATCATTTACGTCCACATCTCACTGATAAAATGGCTTCGTACTTGAACCCTGGGGCACAACTCTCTCAGTTTGGACGAACTGAGAGTCTCAAAACAGGACTGAAACAAGCTGAGGGAGTCTGGGCCACAAAGTTTGAAGTCACTGAAAGAGGTCTGAGGAGGGCTCTGTGGGCCGAGGAGCCAGAGCATCTGCAAGAGGTATGTCGACGCCTATGTTGGCGGATTTTGCTAATCCGAATAGTATGAGCCTCCCAGTGATATGGAGTCGTGTCTGGACCGCGACGACTTTCGCGAGGCGGCAAAGACGTTGCAAGGCTCCCGTGATGTTGGTGCGCAGCTGTACTGCGCGCTTCTACGGAGCGTAGGAGTTCGAGCACGACTTGTTTGCTCACTTCAACCACTGGCCTGCATCTCCGGTGCCCCCACACTCCCCAAGCCGAAACCAACTAAACCAACATCAAAGGCATTGAAGAAGGAACAGGTGCAAGCCACGATGGCCAAGTATCGGGAGATGGCAAACGCCGGCTACGGCTCTCCATCCGGTGGCTCTACTGCCCGCCGGAGACTGGGTCATCCCAACGCAACAGCATACAATTTTGAGCCAAAGCCTGCTTCACCAAAACCGCGCCCTACGTTTGACGCACCAAAGAGAATCAAGGAGTCGTCGTACCCAGTGTATTGGGTTGAGATCCTTGACGTCGGCCATCAGAAGTGGCAACCTGTTGACCCAGTGGTCACACACACGTTCTGGAAGCCCAAGGGGATGGAACCTCCTATAACGGACAAAGAAAACTCCATGTCATATGTGGTAGCTTTCGACGCTGATGGAACCGCGCGAGA